AAAAGTAAGCCAAATGAGACGAAGAAATGTAAGTTTGCCAGATTTTGGATTGCGCGAGACGAATCATGCTGCAAACCCAGGAAGACCACCCTTTGTCATCGAGAAGGAACTACTAGAGGACCTCCGGAGCGCTTCCTACACATGGACAGATATTGCGAAGATGTTACGAATTTCGCGCTGGACCTTGTATAGAAGGGTAAGAGAGTACAATCTGGAGCACTTAAGTCGATATTCGGATATTTCAGATGATGAACTAGATGCCCTAATTAGAGGATATATTTCTCGGCATGGAAACACAACAGGAGAATCCTATTTGATTGGTTTTATCAGGTCTCGTGGGCTGAGGGTTCAAAGAGATAGGATTAGGATGTCACTCACTCGTGTTGATCCAGAAAACACTGCATTAAGGTGGGCATGCGTGATAACGCGAAGGGTATATAGCGTTCCTGGGCCAAATTCTCTGTGGCACATTGACGGCCATCATTCCCTAATTCGATGGAAGTTCGTTATTCATGGCTGCATCGACGGTTTTTCGAGACGAATTTTATACCTACTCTGTGCTGACAACAACCGTTCAGAAACAGTAGGTGATCTGTTTCAAAATGCAGCAGAAGAATTTGGATGGCCTTCACGTGTTCGAGGAGATCATGGGGGTGAGAACTCTATTGTTGCTTCATTGATGGTACAAGTAAGGGGTGACGGCCGCGGTAGTTTTATTGCCGGCTCCTCTACTAGGAACCAGAGGATAGAGAGACTCTGGCGTGAGGTCTTTAGGTGTGTTGTTTTCCTATTTTACTGCGTATTTTACGCATTGGAGGAAAGTGGAAGTCTTGATTTGGAGAACAATGAGCACATTTTTGTTTTGCATTACATATTTAAAGCACGCATCAATTATGCATTAAAGGAGTTTGCCGCCGCATTTAATAATCGTCCCATTCGCACAGAAAACAACTGGAGGTCCTAATAAGATATGGATCGATGGAATGATCAACCCAAGTAATGAAGGACAAACAGCTCTTCGTGATCCAGCTATTGGTGAAGCAGTTCCAGAGAACATTGATCTATATGGAGCGGACTGGGATGGGCCTCTTCCAGTGGAAAGAGTAAACATGGTTGAGGTAGACCCACCACGATGCCCGATTCAACAAGACATGCTGAATTTGCTGCAACAAACTGTAAATCCACTTGAGGAGTCAAATGTTTATGGGATTGACCTGTACATGCAAGCGGTTTCTTTGTTGTAAAACTGAATGTACACAGAATCCTGGAGGTAGTTTGTATGGGATCAGGAGTGACTTGCCAAAGTCGTATACTAGGCATGTACCTCTGCACCATTTTTATATCCTCCAAGGAAAATGGCATTCCATTCACAAACAAAACAGAAAGAGTATTGGTCTGGTCTGTGAAGAGTTTAGTGCTTTTGGGGTTAGGGTTTAGAACCACAATGTTAATACAGTCAGATTTCCCAACACTTGCAAATATTTTAAGTACTTTACTCTTACCGTAACACATGAATTATGTATGCTACCTCTTCCTCGGGAATTCTCCTGGCCATAATACAGAGTTCCCTTTGAAAATTTACTATACGTGTGGGTACTTTGGCCTTCCATATCAAGTGGCCATGGGTTGAGGTTCCTTTCAGGTTTAGGTCTTTTACTGAACTTGGCCAAGCTGCTTTGAATGCAGGTTTATGCCAACCTAGGGTTAAAATTTATTTTTATCAGTTATTAGTTTTATCATCTTATAGTCTGTTTTGATCCATCATTTTTGTATCACATTACTGTGGGCTCTGAGTAAGTGCTCAGGTACAGTGAAACCTGGTTAATCCAGACTCTAAAGGAAAATGACCGTGTCCATTAATCCATCCCTATTCCATTAATCCATTAGTTCCATCCCCCTTGGCCATTTTTTCAAGGAGGTCAGGCTTATTATTAGGACAAAGGAAACTGCTATATTCAGGTGTTCGAGTTCGTTCAGTTTACTGGGTGTTATTATGCACTGTATACTTGCAAAAAATATTTTACAATCATTTCAAAAAGGTTGTTTTGGGAATTGGGCACTGGGTACATGGAAGTCATTGTTCACTGTACTGTATTGTTTTATACAGTTTCAATGCCCTATTTCTGAAGTATACCATGAGATTAATCAAGCATGTATAATTATGTTATTACATCTTAACTTCACTTATATTAATTGTATATTAGTTGTTATGCATATTGCCTCCCACACAGGCACAGGTGCTTTTACGGCTTTATCATGAATTCGTCCCCCTCAAACATCTGTGTGAAAGGCTAGTGATGTATACCGTCTTCAATTAGAAAAATACTGTTATCAGGCTGTACTGTAGGAAAAGGAAGAAGGCTGGAAAATTAAAGCAATTGTTTAACATTCAAGAACAAACTTTTTATTTACTTTCCACATCTATCTCAAGTACAAAGACAGTGCATTATTGAGGTTTCCTTCCTTTACTTTTAGAGATGCCGATTTCCCTTTATCAGTTGGGTATCTTGTAAACGACAAGTCTATGTTTTGGTTGTTGGCATAATTATTATAAGTCAAGATAAGTTATCAACATCAACATCAACATATTTTCTACTTGTAAGAAATTCTTAATCCTAACATCCCACCACCGACCAGTAGAAGCAATGATCTCTACTGTTAACCCTCTAAATCTAAAGATCTCAGGGCTCTCATGAGGACTTTTCATACTCTGTTATCCATCTGTTATACATTTCCTTATACATTTGTTAAGTTTGTGTTTGACATTGGAAAGCACTGATATAAGGAGATTTATCATTTCCAATAACTCTGGGGATATGAAGATTAAGAAACGCATCAGTATAACTTGAACAATAACAAGGAAAACTTAATTGCAGCCTATTTTTGTGTTTTTGTTTCTAGTGCCCATAAGTCTTCTGCTTTAAAACTGAAGTTCAATTGCTGTAATTTCTGTCATGGAAGTAGAAAGAAATTACTGACTGACGGCTATGCCGTATAATCCTAAGTTTCATTGTAAGGCCAATTACAAAACTGTTCAGCTAATGCAACACAACTGTCAACTATACAAGTAAGTGCAAACATTGGCTCTAATTCAATGGCAGCTTACTTTTAATTTTGCTGTAATAACTGCCAAAAATATTTTCACAAAGGTATTTTATTAAACACACCCAAAGCCTCTGTACCCATAATCAACAGCAAAGATGACCTGTTCATAAAAGTTATGGAAAGAGTCAAACACCAGTGGGACTTGAAGCTTGAGTAGACAGGCAAAAAATGTAGAAGAACCATCAATCTTGTACACTAATTCTACCCTCTCTTCTAATCCTAATGGCGGGAGACTGTTTCATTCACTTACATGTAGAATGAACATGGACTTTGTAAATCTAGTCAAAATCCTTTTTGGTCATCTACAATCATTACCGACAGGACAACTGCTACCCATCAGTATAAATTGTAGTTCACACTGAAATTCAGGTTTAAATGGTTGTAACATACAACGTTGGACTCTGCATTAAGAATTTCCTCTGTTTTCTAACCCTAATAATAATAATAATAATAATAACAAAAACAACAACAACAACAATAGCAATAACAATAACGATGATAATGATAATATTAATGATAATGACAATGATGATAATAATAATAATCCTGGCAAATCCTGGAAACTGAGTTGTGAGCGAGGGAGACAGGTACCCATCACGCTGAATTAACCGTGAAAGGAGAAGGGGGAGAGAGGGGGAAGCTTGCAGACATGCTCCAATGCAAAATAACGCTCACTGTAAATGGTATTGCTTGGATTCTGAGTAATTTCGCTTTATCAGCCATTTTCACATTTTCATTAAAAAAACCCTGGGGCATACAGTGTGTAAACACAAAATACCCACAATGTGTGCATGAATTTCCATCATGTATTTCATCATTTATTGTGGTAAACAGGCTTGCTTCAGGACCAATATCCACAACCCTCCCAGGTGGCTATGTGCCTTCAACAAGGGAGATCTCTTGTCTGCTTTCCTCCAAAATTTGGTCATAACCCAATTTCTTGTTCAATACACTGCTTCAAAGAAGGTTGCAGCATCATTGTTGTTACTCCTTAATTTAGAAATACTTACCATCATACAAGGCACCAAGACTTTGTATAAAGAACTTTCGTGCTCTTTCTTTCTCTTCACTGTCTTCTTCACGTGTTGCATTTGCGAAGACTTTCTTGATCACGATATCTGGTGTTAAGTGTTCACCATCTGCCTTGACAAAGTAAACTTTCATCTCCTCAGGATATTTCTGAATCAGAGACATAACTTCCAAGCAATCCAGTCCCCTTCGTAGCTGATCCAAGGGAACCTTCCGTTTTGTGAGCACTTCATGAATGAGGAGATTCATTACAGCAGATCCTTTGTTTGCCATAGTGATGTTTTTGACCCATCCAGCCACATTCAATATGTCACGGACATTTGGATTCTCCAGTAAGAAGTTCCTCAAGTTTTCATCACTTTTGATGTCATTTAGCTGTCAAATTGTAAAAACAAACATTTTGCATAATGGCAAATGTTTCAAATCAAAGTAATACATTGCAAGTTATTTGTGTTACCATCAGAGAGGAGGATAAGAAAATAACCTTAAGAATGAGTTAAATTTAGAAATTCGGAATGGATTATGTTGAGTTGTTACTTGTGAACCAAGGAAAACATATGTTGCTGTTCTACATCCTTCATTACTTCATGATAGCTATACAAGTCAATACTGGCCTTCATAAAACTGAAGTATATGCAGAGGAACTTGCTTATAACACAGTTCAAATTTTAGGGAACCCCCTTTACCCTCTTTACTACAGATCTGATGACTCCTACTTGAAGAAGAGAAATGCAATACAGCAAGTGGATAATCATACCTATTAGGGTAATTCTTCAGTTATAATTTGCATACATTGTTACCTTTGAAATGATTTCACGTATATCCCAATCGGGCACATCCAACACAGAAGACAATCGTGCTGCTTTATGAAGATCCCCTCTTACCAAATACTCATAAACAGCTGGGCTCATGCAAGAAAATGACACATCATGATGAACAATCATGTAGCTCATCATTTTTCCAGCCAATCCAAAAATGTCAGATTGGATGGCTGATGTATTGTAGATGGGAACAAATCTGTCAGTTGACCCTTCAAACAAGGATGCTTCCCTCGAAAAAATGGCTTTTGCAAGTAGTGAGCAGTACTCCATCCTCAAACCTCCTGCATCTAATCCTGCCTCGCCAGCAAACCTTACACGCAAAGTTCCTCGGGTGTCAAATTTTGGGCTTTTAAAAGTAATGATGCTATCTTCCCACAGAGTTTCTCTGTCTACATTTATTCGATTAACCCCTTCTTCTGGTCCATACTTCCGACGATGCGATGCCAGTGCATCTTTAAAACAAATTGGAACTGAGAATTAAAAGAAAACACATACAGTAAGAAATACAAATGCATGTAACTTTATGTTGCAAACGAAATAATACTTATCAACAACTAGTCCTCATCACTGGAAATACTTGACCATGAAAGAAATATCAAGAATATTACAGCTA